TTCATGGCAGATCATTTTAAAATGCTTAAAACTGTGACTTGCAATGTTTCTGAGTCATTTGGAGGCACTGGGGGAATTTCCTGAGCATGGAACTTTTTAGGCAAGATTACGCAACGTACGGTTCCTCCAAATATCATAACCCCGCCCCTTATGCAAAACCAAACCCTCCTCCCATCCCAGTTTATCCTCTTTATCATAAACAAAATCCACTTCAGTTTTTAACATAAAGCATTACACAAAATCAATACCTCAACACTCCATACTCAACAACGATAATTCACAAACAGCCAGAACTGTAACTCCACATTTCCAAATAGACCTCATTTCCATAGCCCCGTCCCTTATGTAAAATCCCTCCCCTGTTCTCTCACTCTGCTGGCATTTGTAATCATTTTTTATTTTTAAATAAATTTTAGCAAAGTCATGTATTTTAAAAATCTTAAGATTTCTATATTTACATCTTTATTTAGTGGTTTCATTAGTGACAAAGGCTATTAATTCATTTAGGGCTAGAATATGTTCATTGTGTTCCAATGAAAGAAGGGTTCCTTTCGCCGTAGTCGGGTTGACATTAGAAGCTTGCCACGCCCGTACTATTACACCAACGCATTAGCAGGTTAAAGCGATTTCATTGAGGAGCCTAGTTTTGTTAACTAGTAAGTACTGTACTTACTGGGTGGTTTTGGAGGGGGGGAGGTCTATTTCGCTGGAAATCTCGCCCCCTTCTACTTTGAAAATACCTGTGAAACCGGTTTAATTTGTCACAGCCAGCACTCCCGCAGAGAGGGGGGTTGTACTTGCAGTGCATCGGTAAAGTGCTTTGAGGAGCCACCTTTAAAGGCGCCATATACAATAAAGTTCATTATTATTGTAATGCAACGGAGGCTCAGGCGGGCGCCCTTGTCGCATTAGGTCCGTCCCCCACCGTTGGGGGCTCGAACCCGGGACTCCCGCGTCACTCAACAGGGACCCAGCCCGGTGAGCTAAAGGGAGATCTCTCTACAGCCCAGGGGCTGTGGTCCTGCTATTACTGGGAAGGGCGGTGATGTCACCTGCTCTGGTCAGCCAGCTCTTACACAGTACCTGTCGGCCACGTGTTACACTCTCTCCCTCTTAAATTGCCGTCCCGGGTGAAGGGCTATCCCACCCCGCTTCTGACACCAATGTAGCGTTTACAGGTTCTTTTCAGAACAAAGGACCAGTGGAGACGCAATTAACAAACCAAGCACTAGCTTTATTCATTAACAACCACCCAAAACTAAACAAAAGATAGACACGCACATGAGGAGACTGACGGAACATGTACACATCTTTAGGGTGGTAATTACTTAACAACACGCTATACTCTTATAAGACTACACAGGGCACTAGAACTACTAGGACATTATTTACACAGGTAGGGTCAGCCGCTGGTCATCGTGCTGACCCTCAGACTCTCCCCGGCTACCACTCCCAGCATGCCCAGCGGTACTACGAGTGCTTAGGGGCGCTTCTTCCTCACCACCAGGCGAGGGCGTTACATTATTACTATTGTTAATTTGCTGGACAGAGAGGTGAACATTATTACGCAGAAGACAAAGATAGCGATTTACTTTGCATTGTGCATTGTGCTGCTGTAATACAGTTTTAAATAATTAAATTAATCTGCTTTATTTATGGGTTTTAAATAAAGGCGATTTAAACGCAATTTAAATCAATATTAATGTTTATATTGTAACACATAGGTAACTATTCATTGTTATTAAAATGACAAATTCAATCATGTTGTGATATTTAGAAATATAAATTTGTTTGGTGCGGAACCAGGGAACCATTTACATGGAAAACGGGCATTTCCAAGTGCTTGTACAATCGATGGAAATGTTCAAGTAAATGTGCAAAAGAAACAAAATAATCATTTATTTCTTTATCATATTGTCTAGCTAATGTCCTCTCTTTGCTAGTTAGAGGCTGTGTTTCTGCATTGGGTAGCAACGGGTGACTATGTTCTCAGTTGGAAGATGTAAACAGCTTAATTTTTGTGTTAAATAATTTATTTAAATTAAAATTCATTCTATACAGCAATCGCATATTTGGGTACCGTTTCATAAAACTTTCATGCATAAAATGTTTAGGGAGAAATGGAAGACTGGTGTGTATTTTTTCTTTAAACTACCAAGACCAGCCATACACAGTATAGTTTACATTCAGTAATGTTTATGTCCCTAAATTAATATCGTTTATGACCTTCAGGTGCATTATGCTCCTCTTCTTTTTTTGCTCAGCTACTAAAATTTCCCTTTAGTGGTAACATTTCATATAAATATTCAATACTAAACGGATTAAAATGTGCACAGTAAAGAGATTAAATGATTAAATCTTTTCACTACCGACCAATGCACCACGAGTGCCCTGTCGGTCATTTTGGCCAGCCAATTACTTACCGCGGTGCCCTGTGGTGGCTTTCCCGTACCACGGGTTTGTACCGTGCATTTTGAACGGCTGCATCTGTACTTAAAATCAGAATAAAACATTACACTGACTACGGTCACTGAGGGTCTCTGGGTTTCAGTGTTGTAGTATTCTGTAGGTGGACACTGTGCAGTAAGGACTAGCTGTGGGAGAATGAAGGGATGATTACACTGCTAAGCAGGCCATCTGGGCTTCCCTGAGACCCCTGTAGCTGTGCTGGCATCATAACTATACGATTAAAACGTCTGACTTATGCATGCAGTACTGTGAAAGTGATTTTTTTAAATTAAGTTTTTCCACTAGATTTATAAATGAGAACACATCAAATGCTGCAGATGATCCCTCCCTGCTCAATTCCACCCTTCCATCCATTTTCTAACCATTTCTTCCAATTCAGGATCACGGGGCAAGTAACAGGGGCATGGTTAGACCACCGCAGAACAGACGGACACAAACAAGCAAACTCACCCCAGGGTGAATTATCCCAGAAGACAATTAACCTAACAGTATGTCTTTGGACTGTGGGAGGAAATTCCACACAGAGAGAAACTCAAGTCTGAAATTGAACCCAAGGCCCCAGCACTGCGAGGCAGCAATGCTAACCACAGTGCAACAAGTCTGCCCTGCTCTATTCTAATGCTATGTTAAAAGTGTGAATGCCAGAACGTCCTGGAACTATGCAGTTCTCACAGTTTACACTGTTAAAATGTTAAGACTAGTGCAGAAGCATAGTTGTCATTTCAGTGGGAGGGCTCCAGTTTTCAGGTTTTATGGATGACTTCAAATAGTGATTAATCTTAGTTACCTTTTCAGTAATTAAACCAATATTTTAACTCATAACAGTATATGGAAATAAAAATGGCTTGGTGGCTTCATAAGGCGGTGACTAAAGAACTTTGCCTTTGATGTTTTTGGGTCTAGGTATGTTCAGGTTTGTGTTTGGTTTAGTAATATTACTTTTAAGATGGCAGAGCCCAGGATCAGTTTACTTGACAGCACTGCTTTGTGAAGACATTTTAGGAAGTAAAATAAAAACAGTGAAAATAATATTGGATGACAATACAACGTTTGTTAAAATTTTATTTCCCATTATACAAAATGTTTTTGTTCTCTGAAAAATAATAGTAAATTTGTTAATCTCTCTTTTCCCCAAGATTTTGTCACTTCTTTCATGTACAGTATATACATACATTGGCACTGGTTAAACATTTAAAACAATACAGCAGATGATCAATAATGAGAAAGGGACAGAATAAGGCTTAGATTTAACAATTCTTTAAACTAGATACATATACAGTATGTTTTTTTTTTACATTCGATATACTTGATTTCTTTATAAAAATAATGTTATTTGCATTCCTGTCAAGTCATAAGATTAAATCTTGTTATAAAAATGAGATGAGTAATAAGTTATTGCACTTTTTAATAAATCATTCAAATGATCACAATCAATATCTTTGTTTGATTAAATTATAAAACAAACTATGCACCTTGCCCTTTTAAATCTGCTAACAAACAAAGCAGAAGGCATGGAAAAAATATCATATAAGGTCTTTTAATCAGAAAGTGTTGTTAAACATCCAATTAAAGTCCAGTGTTGCATATATATAATCTCCTGGCCACTGATTTCTAATAGAAGTCCACACTGCAGCAGTGAGAGTGGGGCTGATGACCTGGCCTGCATTTAACCAAATTCACCTGCTCACTAGCTGCACTCCTCAGAACTAGTGCTTGAAGACACTTCCTTTTCACTATGCAACCTGAAGACCCCCAGCTATGCAAGCATCTGTAATTAGCAAACGGGTAGGTCTGAACATACAATAGGCCTCTGTTAGGAGTTCATTAGCCTCAAAGATAAAGCAGCTTTTCCCAGCTCTGATCCAAGTAGCCACAAATCAGCAGGTAAGATAGTCCCCTGCTTCAGACTGGCAGGTTCAGTAAAAGTGAATCATTAATCCAGTTAACAGTTCAAAAGGATTAAGCACTGGGAGATCCTGTGGTCCTTTAGGACTGGTTCAGGGAAATGAGGTATAATGTCCAGCGATGTCCTGCAGTAGGACTGACCTGCACTGTCACAACACTTCTCTTGCCCAGTCCGCAGGCCACAGTGATTTCCAGTATAAATTCCAGTTCAGCTCCGACATTCCTAAAGCAAACCTCTCACCCTTTAAAACGTCCTGTTAGAAGAACACTGGGTTTGCTTTAATACTTTTGAGGGCTCTGAACTAATAACTGTAGGAAGACTGGATCAGGCCTGAGTGCACCTCTACGAAGGTGATGAACTCTGTTAAAAGTTATTTTTAAGTACCACTGAATTCATGGTCACCTGTCATGAGGAATTCTAAACAATTAATTAACATTATTACTGTGCTTATTAGCTGTTGGAACCAATAACATTTATAAGAAAAAAACCTCTTTCTAAACATTCATTACTGAACAGTAATATGATCTTTATAAGAAGCTCATAATCAACTGTAATCTCTAAATTGATAAACTCCTTGCCATCGCTCTTGTTATTGGGCCGTGTATTATAACTGTGGCAGAGTTGTGCAAGAGAAATGTTCCTGTTCCAGCAGGATACAGAGAGGAGAATAGCATGGCAGGATCTTACAGTGCATTGGGACACAAACACTGAAGTAGTGCTCAGACCTCAAAACAGAAGCTGTCTTTACTCGCACTGCAATGCCACTTTCTCCAGGAGGATCTGCCAAATATCTTTCTGAGAAATTCTGGATCCACAGCTTTGCTCATCTGTCTTTTTCTTCTTTAGGCATGATAAACACTTTAAATAATACAAACAATCTTCCACTTACAGTATGATATAAATTAAATGGATGTTACTTACAGTCTTACAATGATATGTTTAATAGATTAAAAATTGTAAACCTTTTAGTGTCATATACTGCTTATTACAGCAACCCCCCTCCAAAGTATAACAATTAAAGAAGTATAGCAATACTTATTTAATCATTATCCAAAGTATAACAATTAAAGCTTATTGTGGTTAAAAAGGAGGGGTAGTAACTCCTAATCAATAATTATATTTCAATTAAAAAACAGTAATACAAAACTATAACTAGTAATAACAACAAGAATAGCTGTCAACATTAATATAAAATGGCAAATGTTTCAAATGTTGCGTAAAATGTTTTGGTGAATAATGGAAACATAAGATGACATACAGTAAGAGACACAGAGACGCAGCCTTTGTTAGAGGCTTGTTAGCAGTAGTCTATTGTCATGCTCTGCCATGCAAGGTCAAGAGAAGAAGGGAAGGGATATTTCCCCAGTTAAGAACCAAAAAAATAACGTCACAGTGTATATAGCCTGAATTGTACACTGTTCTTCTTCCAAATGCGTAGATGGGGGGAGTGGTGTTGGGGGCCAGAGGAATCAGGAATGTGATCTGGAGAGATGGCTGCATGGCCTTTAAGCAGGGCTCACAAGGGAAGGAGCACTGGATGTGTGCAGGCAATCACAGGACAGCATGAGCAGAGATACTGCCGGGTAGAGAAAAGATCTGTTCAGCTTAGAAAGGCTTTTTTCGGCTCAGCCTAAATGACAGAGACACCAGTCTGCCTCTAGTGCAGCACTCTTGACAATCCACCTTTCACTCTGGATCTGCTGGTCCAGGGAAATGGGTCAGAAGTTATTTCCATTTCAGGTTTTGCCCAAACGCAGGCTAGTGCACAATATGTACCATCCATCTGAACACAGGGCAACGTGCTTTAAAGTAGACTGGAAGGCCTGAAATGGATCAATCAGCTGTGTAAAAGGATAATAGGACCGGATGTTTGAATGGGCAGCTCAGGGTGCTCGGAGTATTGTAGCATTCAAATGTAGATTTTGTGTAGTTCTGCCCAGGCTGGATTTGACAGGTGTCAAAGAGTCCAAATATGAATCCATGCAGTGTGTACAACAAGCAGACTTTTCCCTCCCTTTAATATCTAAAATCATTCCATCATCTTAGCTCAAATGTAGCCATTCACAAATTTGTTAGCGAAAACAGGATGTCATCACTCAGACAGTAAACTTTTCCTTTTAGTTCTGCATAAGGTCAAACCAGATTGCACTCTGTGTTAAAGTCCTAGTCACACATAGAGTAATGACTTATGGTCACCCCAATATGGGGCAAACCTTGACTTTGACTGAAAAGCAAGCTGGAAATATTCCCATGTCAAATCCTAATACAATCAGAACTAAAAGAAACTAAACTTTAGACAAGATCCCACGTGAGGTTGAAAAAGCCATATCCTGTCACCCTCCACAGTAAATGCAAAGTGAAAATGTTGGATGGACCACCAACCACCAACACTCATTCTGCTTTGTCTCTGCTGTTGGCAATGCTTGAAAATAATGACATAAATATTAATTGCGATTCCTAATGACAGCCAACAATGAGAATGATGGTCAGCAACAGCCCCGTATTCACATAAACTTGAGTCAGCAGCCCAGTACTACTTCGCTACTGTGATAAATATTATCCCAGAGGCTGCAGCACTGATCCTGCAGAGCCCTCAGACCAGTGAGTACACTATAGTAGGTGAGCATTAAATGACCAATTTATGAAGACCTAGAATATGTTCCTTCTAATCAATTCAGCAGGTGATTTCTTAAGAAATTTTAGAGATATTCGGGGCCAAAGTCCAAATACCCTTCAGTCATCAAGGACCAGTGTCTTTTCAATTAAACTGATTAGTTGCTTAGTTGATAAAAAAAAATCATAGGTGTTCACAGTCTACAGAGACTGGCGACCTATAAGACAAACTGGACTAGAGCTCTCCAGGACAAAGATTTGAGGCCCTCATATTATACAAACGGAACAAAGCTAGTAAAAAAAAAAGAACAGATATAAACGTTTTTTTTTTAAACAGCAGGAAGGACATTTTTTAGCTATCCACAACCCATAAAAAATTACGTATCTCAAAAAAATATGTATCTTAACTGGAAAACTGCCTTCAAAATGAACTATTAATTAAAAGCAGGTAGAAAGCTGCACTAGAGACAGAAGTCATGCAGACATGCAGGTGTCTTGATTATTTAGTCCACTGGAAGGCTATTAAAATCTGCTAATTTAATAGCCTTCCAGTATAAAAGAGTGAAAAAATTAAGAACAGCCTACAATAAGAGAAGTTGTGCTGTGTTTGTTACAGCAACAGCAGCAGATTCAAAGGTAGATGTTGCCATACATCGAAATAACCAAAATAAAAAAATGTTGATCTGTTACAGTGTTAAGTCGTACTTATGTAAAATTTAATTATATTGAATTACTGATGGCACATAATTGCATTTAAATGTTGCAGTTATAAACCATATCTGTGATAGAAATACAGGTTCTTATTCTGCCCCCTCACACCACTCCCTAATACAAGTGACTCTAATCCAGAGAATGCAGTGCGGATCAGCTAAGAGGATGCAAACAACAAAACTAGTCTGAAGCTTCTTAGGAATACAAACTCCAGGATCTCAGAATGTCTGCTGATAATACATGCTTCAGCAATAAGGAAACTGCAGACCATATCAATATACTATACTGTGCATACTGATTACAAGTTACCATTGCCTCAGTGCACAGTGCATGCTCTAAACGGGCAGCAGTCTGCAAAAGCAGTCTCTCTGCTGGTTGTGTTTGTGGTTTTAGGGTCCTTTCCAGTCACATATTTCATCATCTTGCCTCTTTCTGTTCCTGTCTATGCACTAAGGTTTTCATTTGTTCTTTTTCCATCTTTGTGCCTGACTTTGCTGCAGGGAAGAGGGGGTAAATAGCCCCTTACAGGAACAGGGGTATCTGTCCAAGTGGAGTGATTTTTGCTCCCCTGCAATCCTGCTAATGGGTTTTACTGCGCACTAGACATAAAAGAACCAACCGGAAACAAAGAGGATGCTTTCAGATCTCATCCACTGAAAAACTGGATATAGTGGGATCAAGTGGTGTGCTGCTTTTTCACATTACAACAAGCGATCGGATCAATTAAACATGCATTCTAGAAGTCAATTGTAGACATACTTGTTTACTGTACATCATTAAAATAATTAATCTTTATTATGTATGCAAATCACATAAAATTAAATTGCTTCCACTTTTTCAAATGCTGTGCTCAGTTCTAGCTACAGTGCAAGACCACTAGAAAAGTTCTTGTCAAGTTAAGATTAAAGCACTGTGAGGGCTACTTCAGAGGGCAAAAGAATCCAGTTTCAATCTGCTCCTTATTGGACACAGAGTCAGTTTCACTTATTCTCCTGCCTCTGTCCTTGAAGCTCAGAGCTCTCCTTTAGAGGCAGACTTGGAAGGTGCCCTTTAAGTTGGCTGGCTAGAGGTTAAAATGTACCATACCTGTCTCACTCTCAGATTATCTCTTTGAATTTGCCTAGACTCAGATTGCTACATTATACATTAAGCCTGTTTTTTTTCTTTCAGCTGTAAAAGTTGATAAAAAAATGGTAAGTGCTCTTTATCGTAAATATGAGGTCACAGAAACCTATGGGCTGCAGGCATCAGCTTAAATCAAACAGCTTGAGTCTTTACTAGTGACAGGTGGGAAAGAGTTTTTCTGTCCAATTTGAGGATATTGGGAGGGCTGGACCGCAGAAGAGCAGTGCACAAGACCACGGAGAATGGGGAGGTGGAAGGAAGGTGTTTAATCATAAAGGCGAAGTCTTACACAAGGATTTACTGTGCAGCTGCTATCTATTGAGGCAAAAAACTGTTGAGGTTCTGGCTGTTGATTTGCTTAACGAGCCTTTGCAACCTGATTTAAAAAAGATCTCCACTGATAGAAAAATACAGACTAGATCTGAAGAACCTTTACTCGGTACATCAAAACTTTGTGCAGATGTCTTCCCAAAGCTCAACATCTCCAGGACAATACACCACAGTCCTTGGCAGAGGATATGTGCGTTGCTTTTTAATAGGTTTTTGGGGCCGTTCTCCTTCAGACAGCAGCAGCGTGACCTGATTCAATCCAAAAATCCAAGGCCTCCATTTAACTGTAGATTTATACATTCGTCAAGGTGGGTCAGAAACACTGTGTTGCTCTTGCCTGCTGTGGCAGATATGTATGGACACCTGGAAACAGCACAGCCACTGGAAGACCTTTCAGAACAGGTGATGTTCCGAGCAAGTATGCTTGCAATGGCTGAAATGCAATTCAAGAACACTTCTTAGGTACTGTGAATGTATTAAAACTATACATTATAAAAGGATAAAAAAGAGGTTACCAAACCTTTTTTTCACATTATGCATTTGTTAAAAATATGGGGCACATTTTATGTACATAACCTGGCACGGGTGTTGATTATATTTGTGGTCTCATGACATCTAATAAGACTTAATCCAAGCACATATCATTGCATGGGATTTGCCAACGGAGTCAAAAATGCAAGGACTGAAAGACTTACAGAAATATTATGCATGAAGAAGTACACTGCGCTTGGCTTGATTAAATTCTGGAGTGGGTGATTGGCTATCGCTGGCTATATCTGCAGTTTGCAGATCACTAAAGATACATTCATCGGATGCCTGCTTTAGTACATTGGAGGCCACTTATGCTGCTTGTTGTAGATCACTAGAGTGAACGTGACACATCAGGACAAGAGCGACTTCAGTACTACACACAGCAAACTAGCCGGGATGTCCAATAACTGTGAGCGTCTCAGATGCTTGGTTACAGCCCCAACCTTCAGTGACCAATATGGTCTTTCAGTGGGGAATTCTCTAAATCTCAGACCACCATCTTTTTCCGGCTCGTTGCACTACGCATTTGCAGGGTTACAGACTACGGATATCAGTATCAGGTTATTGCACAAAGGTTATTATCTCAATATTTTCCCTAATATGGGCACCCACTGTTTCTCAGCAGTTTTATTAAAATAACAATTCAACATGTAGCTCACACAAATGAAGATGCCTTCTTTCTGCAGTAAATGTGTTTTTTGCTAAAGTCCTGAACTTTTAGATTGCATAGAGAGATCCCCCTGAATACTAATGCCATTAACAGGACAATGCTGAGGGGGGGGGGGGGGGATACTGGATTTGGCAAATGCCCCATACTGCACCAGATGGGCACAAGAAAGTCTACAGGTTCATTAAGGTACTGGCCACAAAGTAGAACAAGCCACCTTTCCTGTGTATGGAACAGCAGCTTACGGAAATGGGTTTTGCATTCACAAGCACAAGGTCTGAGGATTGGAACAACAACAACATTGAAATTGAAGATGAAATAAATTTGAAATGTAGACATTCGCTTTATGCTCCCCCATCTGTACTGTTCTGGCCCCCCTTTGCCATCTTAAGAGATGATGTACAGTGCGTCCCACCAGGTACATACTTCAGAACTGCAATTAAACACTCACTGTGTTGCAGCTTGAGGCATCTGCTAAGAAGGGCTAATACTGTAATCTACACACCAAATATCTCATGCTCACTCACACATTATAACAGCATGCTCATTCTTGACATGACATTGTTACGATCACAGGTAGCAGTTTCCCGCATGGTCAGTACCAGGCATTGTTGCCAACTCCATTAGGAAACGGCAGCACGTATCTGTAGTCTCTGGTCACCAACTCAGTGCATGATTACACTACCTAGAAGGACCATGCATTATGCTTTTTTTAAAAAGGGAGAACTTCAGATACACCCTTTTAGGTGAAGAGTACAGACCCTCAAACCTCCCAAGCTGAAAGATATTCTTCCCCACTTTAAAATTCTTAGTCCCATGTCCAGAGATGCTGTTATTCATTCACCCAGATAAAAAATCATATTTCCATCCATTTTCTCTTTACACTCAGACAAGCATACATGTGCATATTGTACTGTTGTACTAGGATGCCTATATTTACGTCTTTTCTTGTGGTCATTGACAGTGGAGTATGTGGATGGGGGCGAGAGGAGAGACTGCCTGAGGCGAGCCTCCCTCCTCTCCTCCCCAGTGCAGTAAAGTGGAGTCAGTGCAGTTGCCGACGTTGCTCCCCCTCTCACTGCGATTTCTCCTCCGTGTCGGAGGGGCTCAGTTCCCGTGGCAGGGACACGTGTTTGTGGCGGCCCCACAGCTTGTGGATCTCCGTGGTCTCAGTCTCGCTGCTGCTCGTGCCGCTGTCCCGGAAGCTGGCCAGCGGAGGGCGTACCTTCACGCCTTTCACCGTCACCGAGCCCTCGATGGCCTTGCGCAGCTGCAGGGAGGCGGGGAGGAGAGGAAAAAGAAGACAGTTGGTGAGAGGGGCTGTGCTGCTGTCTCTACCACAAAATTTATAGCTCACAGATTGGGAAATCTGGTAAGAAAAAAGTGTTCAGCTCTTATGATCAGGTAAGCACAAGCTAAGCTGTTCTTGGATATTCTTTTCCATGACACTGGAATTTAAGCATGAAGCAATTAATATCCTTCTTCAGGAGAAAAGCAACATATGATCACAGTATGTGAATGTAGAAACATATTTAGTAAAAAATTAGTTATCTGCTAATTTGTCAGTTAAAGTGCTTAATATACAATACAATGTACAGCATTAATATTATTAGAAGATAGTCATTATCATCGCTAAGAAGTACTACACTAAATCCATCCCACTCCTTTACTCACATGATTCACATGACTTCTTAAAGACCAGTTTGTCTGTCATACCATGGAATGGTAATGCATTTAGATACAGCCTACATTTCACATTTCAAGAATTTTATGCAAACACCCCTTGAGCTTTTGTACTTACGGTACCAGATCTGGCTTTTATTCATTGTGCTGCAACGTGATTTTAAACATTCTTTCTTCTTTTTTTACCTTAGGTACTAAATCTAACAGGTTGAAAACATGTTTACTGGCACCATGCTGATGCACAGGTGCTGACCCCTCCAGAACTTGAATACCGAAGTGGGCCCTCAGAGACTTTAGGCTCATAAGCAGGGGCAGCTCACCAATACCCCAGTTAAAGGTGAAATGGCAACCTTATGAAGAACATTGAAATATTCATTCCTGCAGGTTTTTATGTTCTATATTACTATCTCGAAGGATTGATAAACAGGCACATGCATTTGTCTTGAGAAGCACAATTGAAAAATCATGATGCTTCAGATAGATATCAGAGCACATCCAGCAACCTAATGTCACTTCTTCTCTGGACAACCTCCTGCACGGCCCTCAGTGAGAGAATGAGACAATCCTTTAAAATGTGCCTCTTCAAACAATATTTCCAGTGGCATCACATGACACAATAGTGTCTTTTGACATCTGTAAAAATTTGACATGTAATGTGTCATTCCTAGAGGCAGTGGAAGATTAGAATGATCCTGCTAGATCATATCAGGGTACATACAGAAACGATTTGTCCCAATCATCTGAAAAAATAAAAACTCTAGGGGGTTTCATGTTAGCGCCATATCAAACCACAGTGCTGAACTGCAAAAGAGCAGTCAAGTTTTTTTTTAAATGCTGACAGTTTGAATGATTTCCAGGGAACACAAAACATTTGTTTCTAATACAGCTGTAAACTTTTTCCCATTTTTAAATGAGAAGCTTAAATAGTTATATCTCTTTCATCTAGATGTCTCCAGAGGCATTAATTGTTGTCAGCGAAAAAAGAGTGTGCAAAGTTAATCATGAGGACAGCTCTTTAAAAATTAAGCAGATAAAAGACTTAAGCAATAAATCTAATTAAGAAAACATTCGGAAGCTTGATTTACTAGTTGACAGAAACCTGGAATATTGTAATAGGACATGGTGGACAACAGGTAGTAAATGTAAGATGACAAAACCATATTCTCATTCCAATTAATCTCAGTAATCTGAAATTCTTAGGAGGACTCTTGTTTAGATGTGGGAGTCACATTTAGTTCCCGGAGGGCTATAGGGTTATCTTTTGCTCCTTCACTAAATCACTGGGTAGTTATTTAATTGTTTAATTAACTGGACAAATTCAACAAATCCATTCAGATATGTACGATAACTGAAATGCCATGACTGAAGTGAGTCTTTCATTATGCTTAATATTTAATATGTCTAGTTGAGACTCTGCAGCCATTCAGAACACTCCTGGATTAGAAGAATTATTGTATCACAATGTCAAAATACTGCTCTTCAGAAACTGTGTGAACAAGCATTCACATAAAAAGGACAGCTTGAAAGGATACAGTATGGAGAGTATGCCGAATACATTTTAATCTCAGGTGTAAAATACTAACAATGACATTGGCAAAAGCCCGACATTATATACCAATCTGTAACATATTAAAATAGTACTCCTAAAAATAGTCAAATTAGTCATCCATCGTACTTCAGAATGCATGGTAAAAATATCAGCCCTATGCTTGATGTTTTTTAAGTAAAGCAGAGGTACAGATGTTTGTGCCTGTTCTGATTTGTACTTGTACCGGGTCAAGGCTGCTGTTTGTAATTGGCAGGGATTCTTGATTTTATCCAGTTGCGTTTCTGACCACATCCACGCTGAACCCATGAAAAAAAGCCCTAGTTCTGTACAAGCTGTCGATAAGACTGGCAGTGCTCTAGTGGTGGGTCTACCCTGATCTCAAATGAAAAAGCACAGGCAAACCCACAGTGCCGTGATCCTGAGCCATGTCAAAACAGTTGTCTGGGCTGTCGCTGTAATCTTCTGTACCATGAAAGGCAGTAAAAACAAAATCCCAAGTACCTCACAACAATGGCAATTAATGAGCTGATCTTGTTCATTAAAATTCATAACCTGTTAGCTCTGTTTTTATATTAACATAATGAGCCACTCTTATACACATGCACAAACATACACATAAGCGCAAACATATAATTAACAACAACAAAAAGAGCAATTGTAAAGTAACCATGGCCTTCTCAATGAAATGAAATTGCTTTGCATAATTACTCAAACATTGTCTGCTTGTCTTCATGCAATAAAAGCGAAAATGTCAGAGAGAGTTTCTCTTTCTTGCTTAGCAACAATTGCTATGTTCCAGATGATTTAAAAAGTATGGCATTTTTTTCTCCCATAAACATATAGAGGTTCTTGAAACAAGCCTATAATTAAAAATCCCTTTCCTTTTACTGTCTGTTCCACAAATTGAAACCAGAAGGCTACAGATTTGGATAAAAGCAAATTCATTCTGGTTCCCTAAGGGATGGGAGTTGCAGTTTGTTAATTTCTAGAGGGATGAGGCTGCCTGATCTATGAACAGGCTTGATCTCTCTGCACTGCGAGCTGCTGAGCTGTTTACAGCTGTTATATCTGGAGGCATGCAAGAAGCAGCCTAGGAAACAAACTGAAGGCAAAACAATTCTGATCTTCAGCTGAGGATATTCATTTCCACTACACACTTAATTGAGATAAAACAAAATTGACCATCTCCAGGCAGGATCTGAACTAATACATTTCATCACAGAAGGCAGAACACTCCACGCTGAACTTTACTCAAAAGGACAGCAGTTATCCTGAGATCACCAAGCTAAAGAACCCTCTGTGCAATCTATCTGGACTGTACAAGGCCTTTATTAGAACCTACATTAATAATAAGAACTACATTTATAAAGTGCTTACTTCCCAAAGGACCCCACAGTGCTTCATCCACCACTGTGCAGCACTAAACTGGGTGATGTACAGCAGAAGCACAACAGCATAGCAAATTGGAGAAGTGACAAAATGCATCACCATTTGAAATACAGTAAGATGGGAGTCTAAGCTGGAGAAGCCCAGAGTGTTATTTAACCAGGACACCTGGAGTAACACCTCTACCTTTATAAATTGTCTCTTTGATCTTTACTAACCAAATAGTCAGGACATTGGTTTAATGTCTCATCCAGTGGACACCACTTCCTACAACACACTGTCCCTGCTCACCAAACTGGAGCCCTGGTTCTGGAACTTCTGGCCTAGAGGCCCAGCACAATACCACTTACTGCAGAAACCTGGATTTCTTTTAGACGTTTACCATCCCAGTACTGACCAAGTCCTGCTTTGCTTAGCTTCCGAGATCTGACAAGATCAGGTCAGAATGCGGTAACTACTGTGTTGCACAGTCCCTCTCTCCACTGTGCAGTAGTTTCCTACCTCCTTTAGGGACACCACTCCGATCAGTCTGCCGATACTGGTGACGTATGCATGGTCCAGGCCCAGCAGGGAGAAGATTGTGTGCGTCTATGAGAGAAAAGCACAGAGGACAAAGGGCTTTACAGTGGGCACTTAACTGAACTGGTGCCAACCAGCCTTTGGCATGGCAATGGGCAATTAATCTCAGACATAATCTTCATCCTCATCTCTGAATTCCCTGAATCAAGAATGAAAGATACCAAGCGGAAAAGACTGCATTGTGGCTTGATCCTTTTGACAATTACTGATCTCTTATTAGCTTTCCCACACCTGAGAGATTACATGTTTTTGTAGTTGTTTAGATGTTTTTATAGGAAAGATTAATTCTTTTATTCTGCTCATATCCTTATTCTGGCAGGAAACAGAGAGTGAGCAATTCTGACAGAAGACCGAATTTTCTTTAGCCTGTTATTAGCAGCATTAGCAATGTTTTAGATGTCAAACTGCAATGAATAGAGGTGTCTTTTGTTCCAGGCAGAATAACCTTTACCCACCACAACACATAAAATAAATAAAATATTTTGAATGCAAAAAATTTCAGACCTTTGAGCTCAATATTGAGTACACACGTCTGTACCAACATTCCAAACAGCTTGGTGCAACCGTTTCTCATTCATCTTGCCAGATTTGCTCCATCAACGTTTCTTGGTGATTGCTAATGGACCGTATTTTTTAAGTCCTTCTATGGATTTTAAAAATTTAATTGGGCTTCTCAAGGACAGTAACTTTCTTATTCTTAAGACACTCCATTGTAGCTTACTGCTAGATAATTTTCCTCTATGATTTTCCTGTACTTTTCCCTATTTTTCCCATCAGTCTTGACAAGCTTCCCAATTCCTGCTTAAGAGAACCGAACTGTAGTATAATGCTGCAGCCACCATGTTTGATAGTAGGGACGGTTGGGTTTGCATGCATGCAATGTAACAGCATTGCATGCAGACTAAAAACGTTCGCTGCCTTTTTCACTACTCAGATTGTAGGGAAAGCTTGATCTAGGCAGTGTCTGGGTTCCTTCAACCTCTTTCTGATCGAATTCACCATCATCAAATAGGTATTAAATGTCCTTAAAATGTTTCATATTCCCTTTCTCTATCTCCTTATGCCTTTTTTTAACTTTATCCCTGCCTTGCTTTGAAAATTCCTTAGCTTTTATGATTGACTCTTTGCTTGAAATTCACTACTTGACCAAGGCACTGAATAGAGACAGGTGTTTTTGTTCAGAAATCTTGTAAAACACCATTATGGCACACTGAAGAGAAACCATTTAGGTAACTACTGTGGCTCCTTAAGGCAATTTTGTGCAAAAAAAATCCATTGAGTTTTCCCACTGAAAAGGGTTTGAATACATATGCACTCATGACTTTTCTATTTTTACTACCATTGTACTATGTGCAGTAGGCTGAGCATATAACAAATACTGATGGCTCCTTCAAAATGTACCAACTGCAAGTTTTAGAGCGAGAAGATGTGAAAAGTGTGCAAGGGTCTGAATACCTTTTGCTAAGCACTGTAAATATGGAAATGGAAAGAAATAAAAGGACCAAATTAATGGAACTCTTTTTTGGAGGACTCATTTGGCTTAAAAGCCTCTTCCTGTAAAATATTCATGGGAGAAATTCAACAGTGTTTTATTTGGGATGCTATTATGGGAGATTGATAAATGGCCCTGTCTGTCCATGCAGGATTCCAGTGTTAAAGGTTTAAACAGCAGGCAGAGCTGCCCGCCTCATATTATGAATTGTGCACATTAAGGCTGCTGCAGTAAACAAACAGAAAGGAGAAGCATTAGGGGAAAAGAGTGAAAGAAAAGAGTAATACAGGAGGTTTGGGAGGGGAAGGGTAGATATTTGTCCCCGTATTTCTCCACAAGGTCTACATGATAGGAATTCAGAAAGGGATAAACCGCATTCCCACAGCATGTGACTGCCTCAGTGCCTCTGGCTCTAGTGCAGATGCATTAATGTCATGTGATGCTCCAACACTAGCAAACACTTGGCTATAAGTGAGACAAAATATGGGGAGAGGGATGTCCATAAAACAGACAACCTGCAACTGACCTCAGGGGGACTGGCCCACATTCACATTTCACAGGCAGGGCCAGAGAAAGCAGCACCCTTCTGTCAAACCCAGTAGTACACTTCACCAGGTGTTGCCCTAGCTGCTTCAGTGACAGACCTGTCACCTGCCTTTTCCAAATAAACATCGACAGCCTCTCTTTTTCCACATGCTTTCGGCGTGTCCTCTCTCCAGCATGGCTTATTGACAGAACGGGCGCAGTGCCCATGTGGGATGGGCACTGACCTCTTTCTGAGGAGTGCTAATATACTGCTGCCGCTGACAACCTACAGCAACTGCCTTAGTCCCGTATCTGGAAGTGGTACAATAGCACAGACCCATGATGTTACAGTGTAGAGAAATAGCAAAACGTAGTCTTCGTACCAGTTTTTAGCTGTATATCTTGCAGGGGCTGAAGTGCCTTTCTAAAACAAGAAGCAAATGCCACTCAAACACAGGGACACTTGCATTTGTTTTTTCAAACAGATCATGTCTTGGTTAGTGTATCGATATGAATGAAGGCAATACTTTAGCTATTTGTAACAATGACAGACCCTGGGGAGGAGGAGGGCTCAGACACGGGGAAGGACCTACCTTGTGCAGAGAGGTCCGCTCCACTAGCTGGAAGGGGGCAGGGTCGATTTTGCAGTTGTTGAAGTTGACCTGCTCATCTAGCTGCCTCTCCTCCCACTCAGCAATCTGGAACAGCAGGACAGGGGAAGGTAAGAATGCTACGCAGAGACCATCCATACCAGCATTCAGAGAACAGCGGGGTTATTCCAAGAAGGATTTTAAACCTGTCCTGGGGAGCTCAGAACACAAATCACCAGCGGCCAGGTGCAGAGGTGAAAGAACACCCTGCAAGCAGAGAGCTGGCCTCACTGGGCGTGTCTGTGAGAAGACAGCTCCTAAGCTCCTGGCTATTTTACTACTTAACACAGTATGAATCCAATTTCATGCACATCCTATAATCTCGCTTCAATGTATCTCTAACCATTTACTGTTAATATTGTCAATATTCTCTTCATATCACCAGATCTGCACCAAAAGTTCTGTTCACAAACAGTTCAGTTTTTTTCACCATCCTGAAAGCCCTTAGCCACAGCCCAGGCTTGGTGCATTTTCTGTCATTCTGGTTTGTTGGGTTGGAAGATTTTTTTCTTTCTTATAAACCTTAAAGTAAAACAAATAAGGGTAACAAAACTGTATATTCAGCAAAAGGAAGCAAGCAGTACAAAGTATTCAGTATTCAGCTGAAGTATTCAGCTGAAATGTGAAATTTAACCTCTTCGTTTTCAACATACAACTAACCTTTTCATTAACTGATTGAGCACTGAACAGTCGCCATATTTAGGGATTCCTCTGAATGTTAAAAGAAAAGGTCATGAGCATACACTCACCACGACGCCAAGAAACCAAAAGCAGTGGACAGGAAGGTCATGCATACTGGAAAATTGCCCTTAGCATTAAAAAGAAGCATGTTGCTGGAAATGCACACAAAACGCCAAATGCCAGCTGCTCTTTATCCCCTGTATGAAAGCACAAACTCCCTGCCCGACCTGTATCTTGCACTTTTGTATGTCCGTGTCCAGCCCTTTAGCCACTGATTTCATGACAAGCTGGAGGAGGTCAAATGTGCAGTGGAGTGAAGGAGAGTGATTTCTCCCCAGGGGTGTCTATGTTGAATGGAGCAGGGCTGAGAGAGTAAGGGCATGCCCATCAGGAGCAGGGAGAGAGTTACTGTAGAATATTCCGGTAGCATAGTAACATTGCCCATTACATTACAGATAAAATAAAAGGTTTCAAGAAGTTTGTCTTTTATCGGTTGAGTGATAACCAGAAATTAAAAAAACAACTCCGTCTCCTATCATCACCTAATCACGTCTGTCACTCTGTAGCATGGTTCACAGACTGCTGTCTGACAAAACAGTTTCTTTGAGTCAGTCATCAATAAGATAGTCCACCTTAAAACTTCTAGCTGCTTTTGCTGTGTTATACAAATAAGATATATAATTTGACGTGCTTCCAGCAGAGTCCTAAGTACAAAATTAAGAAACAGTATTTTTTTTAAGTAATTGTGCTGTTAACATGGAACCTCAGTGGGAAAATTGAGCTCTTTCAGTATATTTTGGGCAACACAGCAGAACACTAAGTAGTTTTAGCTACTTACACACACAGAGCTCTTAACCACTGACACACACACAGCTCCCAGTCCCTCAGTCTTAACCACTGACACACACACAGCTCCCAGTCCCTCAGTCTTAACCGCTGACACACACACAGCTCCCAGTCCCTCAGTCTTAACCACTGACACACACACAGCTCCCAGTCCCTCAGTCTTAACCACTGACACACCGGTGCCCGGTGACTAAATCACACATGTGAATCACTTTGCTGTAATTGTCAACCCAAACTACAGTATGATCTTTCACCTTATACAGTACAGTAATTCATTCAAGTTTGGCTGAATTATACCCTGTTTTATATTTGTTTTCAGCTTCTTTAAAGACAACATTTTCAAGTTAGTGTAAAATCTGTTTGAGACGGTCAAGGGGATTTGATACAAGTATTTAAAATCTTAAAAGGCGCTATCCAGGCCAACCTGAAAGAAAGCCTTTAGGAACTCATGGAAATCAAGAGGAAGCACACTTGGGGCTTAAAAGCAGGTGGATTTCTGCAAAGAAAGGATTTAAGGGACCTGGAAGAAGCTACACTTTTGAAATGCATCCAGGGACTCTCCCAGGAAAATACTGCATCCTATGATCAGAAAAAGTAAAAAATGTCAGATGAAGCACGCAATTTGCTTCAATTAAAGGTTCAATTAGCATGTGAGCAAATAAAGCCACTAGACACTCAGGTCCTGAGGCCCAGAGATAAGAAAACTCAACACTTTTATGCCTTTACTCCCAGCTCTAGTTTAATAGTGCAGTCACTTTCTTATACCACAGGGGTTTATGGCCACTTAAACTAAATCGGTTTGCTTGTATAAAACTTAGTATTAAAAATTGTTTTGTATTTTCTGTTTTCTGACTGACAGTTGAACTAAAGTAATAATGAGAAAAGCTGAACTGGTCTAAAATATAGTTTAGCTAAAGCCAGAATTGATTTACAGAGCCACTTCCCCAGTTTAATATCATCTGTTTCCCCTACCAGTACGGGAGGCCAATAGATGTGCATTTGTGAGCTGTCAGGACTGATAAACTCTGAACATTTCATAAACTGTGACAAATTATTCTGCAGATATGAAATCAATACACCTCCCCGCCACAGATAATGTGCATATTCTGACCTTTTGCTCCCAGAAAAGTGAAGTTCACATTACAACAGTGAGAATGATTTAGGGAAAACAAATAATTAAATATCCCGTTAACAGTGTGCACATGTATATTGCAGTGTTGTAATTTAGGATGGGGAGGAAAGGTGGGATGAATAGAGCACAGTGCCATTTCAGGAGAACAGTGTGGAAGAAGGGACTGCACGATGTGCACCACTGTATGAAATTGTAACCATGGCTGCAAGCTCTAATTTTTTACTTTTATTCCTCCTGGCCCTGCTTGTTTTTAATCGTTTCTAGTGCCAAATGAGCATATCGATTAACAACAGAAACAATGGCTGCAATCCTGAAGTTTCTGCATTTGCACATTTTAATAACGTCCCTCTAGACAGAACCTGTGTTTCTTTATGCAAGTGAGCTGAGATCATAAATGCTTCACCACACCAGCACAATGATGAGTGTTTTCTTGGTTAATGTATACTGTAGCAACTCTTTCTAACTGTGTAACTGCTTTATCCAATACAGGGTCGTGGGGGAGCCAGAGCAACGGGCATAAGCTGGGATACACCTTGGATGAGATGCCAGTCCATTGCAGGGCTGACACACAGACATAAACACACATACAACCTACAGTATGTCTTTCAGGCAGAGTGGTGGCACTGTGGCTAAGGATTTGCACCTGTGGCTGGAAGGTTGCCGGTTCAAATCCCGTGGCCGGCAGAGGAATCCTACTCTGTTGGGCCCCTGAGCAAGACCCTTAAACCCAGCTGCTCCAGGGATGCTGTACAATGTCTGACCCTGCGCTCTGACCCCAAGCTTCTCTCCCTGTCTGTGTGTCTGTGTCTCATGGAGAGCAAGCTGGGGTCAGAGCGCAGGGTCAGACATTGTACAGCATCCCTGGAGCAGCTGGGGTATGCGAAAAGATGAATTCCTAATGCAAGAAATTGTATATGGCCAATAAAGTGATCTTAACTTATGTCGGTATTAACCTATAGTATTCCTGCAGGGATATCACCCTGCATCTCACAGCCGGTAGCCAACTGAAGCTCAGCAGGTGTGAGCCTGGCCAGTACCTGGGTGGGAGACTTCGGGGAAAAACTAACGTTGCTGCTGGAAGAGGTGTTAGTGGTGCCAGTAGGTCAGTGTGGGTCCTAATACCCAGTCTAGTGACGGGAACACTATACTGTAAAAAGGTGCTGTCCTTCAAATGAGACTTAAAACTAAGAGGCATAACCCTAACTGGGCTATAAGCAGTGGTGTACCATAAGAACCCTATTTATTATAAAGTTTCTTTTTTCTGATTTATAGGAAGAATTCAGATTCTAGTTAGTAAACTAGTTAACGTAGATGTAGATGGTAGGAGTAAAAAACAGCGGCAAGAAAATTACTTAATGACAAATCATGTATTGGGCGAATGCATGGCAAATTAAATTTAAGCGCATGCTGCAGGTACGGACAGACAGTAATATTATATAGGTGATTCTGAGCTGCAGGAAGCTACAAACAAGACGTATCTGGTGTTTATTTAGATTATTATATGTTCCCATCAAGACAATAACAAAGCAAACAGAATGGTAGGCTATATAACAAAGAGCGTTATACAGTACTGTATGTGTGTTTCCTGAATTTTTAAATCCAGGAAAATTATGCTGAAGCTTTACAATGCATTCGTAAAATGTCATTTAGAATATTGTGCTTTGGTTTGGTCACTATATTTTAAATATGATATCATAGCTTTAGAGTTTGAAGAAGACCAGCAAGAATGATTTCTGGTCTCAGGAGATTGCCATTAACAAACAGGTTAAAGTAAATAAATCCTGCATCTTCAGGATTGACTTCTACCAACTTCTACCATAACTTCCATAAATCCCAATGAATTACCAATGCCTTCCCTATCTCCATCCTCCCACAGACACATTAGTTTGTGGTCTGTGACTAAATGTGCTAAATGACTGGCATTAATGAAAAGCAACAGTGATGAAAAGACAACAAATTAATGTTATCAATGTGCTAAATGAGTATCAATGCAAACTGCATTACACAGAGGGTTATTTATTTACACGCTGAGACGTGTGTGCTGTGTTGAGTGTGCTGTTACTGGAATCAGTGGCTGTGCTAGCTCACAACAGGCACGAGAGGTAGAACTGGCACAGCAAGCACTGCGTGAAAGCAGGCCAGTGAGGCTATTAAGTACTCATGGCTGCTCTCCCATGATCTCCACTGGCTCTCCCTATCCAATGTCCCTAACACATCCAGAGACAAAGAGGGAGAGAGGGAAAGATGGAAGTGGGGGTGCATGGGTGAAAAGCAGAGAACGATAATGTTTTAACGAGACAAAGAAAGAGATTGGAGGAGGAGAAGAGCTCACAGTACAGAGAGCCTTAGTCCTTTGGAACATTGCATGACAAAATCCCAGCCCTGGCCACCTGCACTCACAGACTAACCCATATCCCCCTGACCCATAAGAACAGCAAGAGAGGCTGCTCTGGACGACACCCGAGCTGCTCTGTACTGCCCTCTTCTGGGCATTTCCACTCCGTTAATTCTGTGCTGTCTCCTGCAGTAAACTTTCTACTACTGTTTTCTACTAAAATACAGAAACCCAGGTTAGCATGTTTTCTGTAGGAGATGGTTTCCATGAGGACGAAAACATTACAACTCTTTGTTGCACGCAAGTGTAATTGTGAAAACTTACTTGTTTTCCTGTATACAACAGATGACAGATGACATCTCTGTATACATACCTGAAAAAAATTTAGTCCTCTGATATATACATCATTATATATACTATGCAATAATTCTATATCATATAAATTATTAATGATAACGATGGAGTCCTTTCACTTGAGAAAGCATGCCTTCATAGAAAGGGAATTAAAGACATATACACTGCAATTTTATTCTCCTGTGGAGCACCATCTCCTTTGCACTTCAGTGAGTAAGTATACAGTCTGTATGTTTCTTATTCAAAATTCAGTTTTAGACCTCAGTAGTGAGGCACAGAGAAGACAGGCTGCAAATGTGTTCTTACCTCTCTCACAGTCATGTCGTCTTCTACATCGGCTTCGTCCTAGAAAGAGAGAGAGCAGAGAGATTGAGAATGGCCTCCAGCAACCAGCCCGCCTCACAAAGAGTGCCGACCCCTCTTTCCGACTCACATTGGACCTGTGTTTCGGAACAAAGCTATGAACAACAGTATAAGCAGTAGACAGGAGTGAGAATGGCAGGGAAATGAAATGGCTCCCATAGCAACACGGAGAGAGGCAGACATGTTCAGAGCTTCACAGGTGTCAAGAAGAAAAAACAATGAGGATCATTCAACAACATATCAAATTATACATTAATCGGCACTAAATGAAAATCAAAAAGGAGTAACTGTTTTATTAGGAAAGAAACAAAAAATCAAATCAATGTGATGCAGTTTCTTTCATGCATTCATGTACAGAAAATCTTGAAACACTTGCAAGCAACTGGCCTGTCAATGAATAGCTCACAGAATGATTTTGAATATACCCTCAGTATTACCTTACCCAAGTTGTTTAATTATATTCACTACAAGCCGTCATGAACTAATCTCATTCACATTAAATGTAGCACTGCGATCTCCTGGACCATATCCAATCAAAGCACTGCTGGTTTTCCCTAATTGGTTGCTAAATAACAGTACTAAATATCTGCCAATTACATATATTAATTCATGTATCTTGGGAATTGGGGTGCCACAGAAATGCAGTGGTTAGCATTGCTGCCTAACAGCACTGGGGCCCTGGGTTCAAATCCTAAGGTGCTAGCTATGAGGAGATTGTATGTCCCCACCGTGTTCATGTCTTTTCTGGGTGATCCAGTTTCCTCCCACAGTCCAAAGATATACTGGTTAATTGGCTTCAGGAAAAACCTGCCCTGGTGTAAGTGTGTGTGCCCTGATATGGGCTGGAGTCCCGTCCAGGGTGTGAACTGAAGCCATTCGACCCATTGCATTTGCTTGTTCTCTCATCCAGCTGTATCTGGAATGACCTGAGGGAAATCAACTCTAACAACACAGCTGGACAGTTTGCTTCAGGCTCCCATCACCCCTTGTGTTCTCAGAGATGCAGAACATTTACTGTGCCCTATTGTTTCCCCACCAATTCCCAGATTCCCTAGCATTAACTTTCTCAATGTGCTTCAGGATTTTGAACACCTCTGTCAAGTCTCCTCTTAATCTTCTCTGCTCACAACTGAAGAGACTTAAAATCTTTTAACCTGATTTTGTATGACATACAGTACGTGTCAGACCATTAATTAATCTAGTCTCTGAACCCTCTTCAGAGCACCAATGTCATTTTGTAAAGTAGTGAACAGAACTGAACACAATATTCTGAAAGGTCTATGTGCTTGATCTGTTTCAGATTTAGGAATAAACACCATGCTGCTTACAATGGCTGCAGTTTCTTTCTCTACAGAGAACAGGACCTTTAGATTTGTTCGTGCTTTAGTAGCTTCCTTAAAACAAAGAAACACCAGGCCATTCAGAAACTTGCTCTGAATTGAGCACAGAACCCTTCTGCCATGATGAGAGGCAAGTGAATTAACTACAAGGTCCCACTTACTGGCCACCAGACCATGGCTTTCACACCCTTCCGGCTCTCTTTTTCCGTAGAGCAAAAGTCAAAATCAGTTAAAAGGGATGCATAGCATTCTCCCCACGGGTTTCAAAGGCTAGTGACCTCCTGTTACCATTTGAAAGTAACCCATATTGCAAAATTAGGCTGCCAGCCCCAGTGTAAATTAATGAGGCTTGTTAATGAAAAAAGAAAGAACTCTAACAAGACCCAGTGAGAGAGATCTGTACTCTAACCCTTCGCCTCTAATGAAACACAGGCAGCAACCCTGACCTCCCCTACATCTACAGGAGAGCTGACAGTCCATCCATCTTAGCCCAGTAGCACTGCAGTACAGAAAAGAGGCAGTAGTATTATGTAACCACTGAAAGAAAAGATGAGGGAAATGGAGAACTTTATGCTTTCACCAAAACTCTGTTACTTGTACAGACGCACATCAGTACAATGTTGGTCACATCCAGCTTTCAGAATACACACCCTGAATGACTTTCAGACATGTTTGTTGATCGTGTACCTCTGAATCAATATCCAGGGCTGCTACAAGATTTTTGGCCATTTACTCAATTCAAGACCTCAGTAGCTCTGTTAGTTATTTCCTTGCTGTTAGTTATTAACAGCTCTCAGCCACCAAACAAAGACACTTCTACAATAATAGGGAAGGAAGATTGGGGGCTCTGGAGACCACTGCTCCAAGTCATTGTTCACTCGGGAAAGGATTAAATTGGTTCCATTATGAGAAAAATTAGTTCATTCATAATAAAAAAAAACAGGGGAAATGAAAACCTGGAGACAACATTCCACTTAAGAAGGCAGCAGATGTAGCTTGAAAATTTAAAACAGTAATACACCGTAAAATACATTAAGAGGAACTGTAAAAACTGAAAGGCATCGCTACAAATTAAAATAACAGCCTTGTAAATCTGTAATACAGCTAACAAATTACTTTCAACAGAGTGGTATGAATTCCTAAAGATTGAACAGAAGGCAAAATAAAACTTTACCAGCTGAGGTTTAAATTATGCATTTATTGCAGCTCAACCACAAAACTATTGAGCTGTAGTAACCTACATAATGTGATGTGATCTGTGCTGAAAGGAGCACAATATTTGCTTGGAAGTGCTGGACATTAGCAGTCTTCTAAGCTGTTCTGACTTCCACACAAAAAAAAACCCGGACAGAGACAATTTTAAACAATTAAGCGCAAAAATAGTTTCTCCTCTCTTTCAGATTTCCCTTCTGCCTATGCTCTCAGATCACAAGCACGCTTCACTGGCACACTAACCTAGTGGCCCCCATGGAGGGCAGTGACAGAGCATATACAGCAGAACGCAGTCTAAGATAAGCCACTAGTTTTGTACATGACTGAACACTGTTGTCAGAGACAACCTCAGCTTGGCAGAGCACTGAGCTCGGAGCAGTGCTGACTGATGCCTCTCACGAAAAGCATTACTAAACTGTTGGCTATTTAGTGCAATGACAGTGAGGGGCTTTAGAGAGGCCAGGCACAATGTCTCTGTGGAGTGGGTGGATCAATATGACATATCTCACAGCATATGATGCTGCCAATAAGTAAACTGACAGAGCCTCTAGGTGTGTCCCAGGAAGGGAAGATGAATGGTAGGATCCAATCTAGATGCAAGAAACAAGCATCACAAGCAGGTCTGAGAGACAGCCTGCATGGTTTTTAACTCTTTTGTGAAAAGGGGGCTGGCTTTTAGAGTTCTGTTTCTGTTCCATCGCTGCTGAGGTTAACAACTGACACGACATCAGGTGTGGAGAGACTCCTTTATCCTGAAGCCACACATCTTGGAAGGATCTGCCTAGTGCAAGGGTGTTCAACAGTTTCCACGTCAAGACATTTGGCACGTTCTCACACATTTCTTAGATATTCCTAAAAATTAACCACCTATTATATATAGGCCTGATCGTGTTCTTTCCAAAAATGACACTTTCTAACATTCAAACATATTGCCCATTAATCTATAATGTATCTTAATTCACAGGCTAACTGGGAGTTAATTCATATTGCAAAACATTTTGTGAACACTTGTAAGGATGGGCACCACTCAATGTGCTGGTCTGGTGTTGCAATCTATTGCAGGCATGGAGAAGTGTGGTTGTTTACAGGCTAACAGGAGAAAATGAGAAATTTTATCCATAAAGCCCTGACGAGCGGGATTCATATCAAAAGTCTTCCTTGCAGGTTTAAACTCAGTTTAGCTCCTGTGAACCATGTAAGGTCAATAGCAAACACAAACTCCTTGGTCCAACATTTTCTCCTCCCATTCTCAAAAACTGATCCCTCCAATCATTGAAGTTGAAACGCAGATTTAAGCTGTAGTCTGGAAACAGTCACACTTTTTGGAATGCAAATGTGCCGTTTTCCCTGCTGCTTTCCCAGCAACTTGAGTAAAAATAAAAAAAATGTTAAAATGTCCAATATTCTGCATTCAAGGGTCTACTTTCCTCTACTTTGATAAAGGTACTATATTTTTGAGTTTGTCTCCACTGCTGCAGTGCCAACCTAACCTTCAAAATGTACAGCCAGTCTGTTCTCGGCCAGTAATACACTGCGTTGCATTTTATCCTGCAGTACAGTGCTCACAGAGAAAGTAAATACACATCGATATGAGGTCCTCAGAGTGCTGCTGCATCACTGGTGTCTAAATAACCTTTTGAAATACTGGGAAAACAGATGACAATCTGACTCTTCGAGTTAATGGAGTAAGATTGAAGTAGTTTCCTCAATTGCCAGTATCATGGCTGGCTAGACAGAAATGTTAGAGAGGTTGGACCTGGGTATTTTGTCCACTCCTGCTCTAATGTCTTATTTAGGACAGAAATCAATTGTGGAACAACAAGAATTGCATGTTGTGAGAGAACTCTGATCATTCTTCCTACCCAAGGTAAATCAAACACAAGGTTGCTGCTTACAGTAAAACACTATCTCTGGCACTGGCAAAGAGAACATGCTGTCTATTGTTCCTCATGTTTCTCCTAAGGGAAACATCCACTGACAGCTGTGCCTGTACAATCCTGAGCCAGTGGGATCTCTTTGAACTACAGCTTGAATTCTGTTCATTTTACAGGTTATCCTAAATTATTTGCTTTTTAAGGATTAAGAAAACAGTATAAGATATTGATCGGTTAAGTAAGTCATCTGTTCTGTTAAAGCAAATTAAAAGATTGAATTCTGTTTTTTGTTCTAAATTATTTCAAATCTTCATTTGCTCATTATTAAACTGGTGATGTGGTGGTGACCTGTTGTAGAAAACATCCTGAATTGGAGAGTCTTGCTTCAGACTAAACCACAGCCTAACTACAGCTAAAGTGTACATTTCACACTACTGAGACTTTGTCCCGACTGATCCTAAACAATTCCAGTATTCTTCCACAAGTTCCTGAATTAATGCAAGGTCTAGTTGAATGGAAACACTATTCTGGAATGACATGGAAGACCTAAAGCTAC